GAGAGAGAGAGAGAGAGAGAGAGAGAGAGAGAGAGAGAGAGAAGGAGAGAGAGAGAGAGGGAGAGAGAGAGAAAGCAGGTAGCGGTTCGTCTTTTGAACATTCCTCTAGTCAGACCTGGGATGACGACAGAGGCCCGGCAAACGCCTGCTGTTCCGCCATCAGCTTCCTGTACTCCATCATGAGCTGAGACTCCGCCAGCATCGAGACCTCCGAGTAGCGGCCGCCGATGGTCTCCACGTACTTCTGCAGTGCTGGGAACATTGATGAGAAGTAGAAAAAAGGGACTACATAGAAATGATATAGAGGCGAAATGTTTGTTCGTTTCGCACGTTTTAAATGGGCTACAAGACTGAAAACCGTCTTCCAAAGCAAAACAATCTCGATAGATGAACTGAAAAGAGTTTTCTATTACACCATGGATGTCTTTTACACCATTTTCTATTGATGCCATATTCTTTAAGTATAACATGCTTTTTATCATTTCATACTTCTAAACTGTCAAAACGTCACCTATAAGCGTGACGTATCTATTTCAATAAGGCTTGAATCTGAGAAGCAACTCATTTTATCGGCCTCCTTCACATTTGGTTTCTGACCTCACGGTCTTATGGACTCAAAACAAGCAAAAATGTCACATAGAACTTTGTAATTCTAAGGTAGCGAAACAATGTCCAATGGGAATTAGCAATCAGATTCTCCAGTACTGCTGTTAAGATAGAGGTACGCCATGTTAACAGTTACAAGTTAAAAGATTTACTAACGAAAGAGCACACTTACTTCGAGGAAAGACTTAGAGAGGATCCAACGCATAAGCTCACCGAGGATTTAAAAGCTTGACATTAAGTTGAAAAAAACGAGATTGCAACCTACTCTTCCCCCACCCACCCACCCCCACGCCCACCCCATAATATGCGTTTCACCGCCTCAACATCTCACTCTTTCTCACAGCAGAAGCAGATACATTGGGTTCTCGTGGCCTAGGGGTTAAGGTGTTCACCGGTCATTCAAAGGTCCCGAGTTCGAACCCGAGTAGCGACCGAAAAATTTTCTTCTCTAAAATTGTCTCCTTTAAACTTCTTTCCTTCTCTCTTGCAATATTCTGTCTTTTGCTTTCTTCTCCACTTTCTTCCCCCATCCCATCACCTCCTTTGCCCCATCCACTGGGCTCCTGACACTTTCTGCAGCGTTTCTACTGTTACTCCTTGGCTCCTTCTTACTGCTGTCTTTCAGCCATACCCCTGATCTTCTGGTAGGAAAGATCTACACCTAGCGTTCTCGGACAAGGGTGAACAATCTCGGAGGTCCGGTGTGCAAGTTGCACACTTTAAAGATCCCTTGGTGGTCTAAAATCGACCAGAGTAGGCAAAATTTCAAAATTGTTTACCAACTGAAAATATTTGGTGTGTCCCACGCGCTCATATGACCTTATGCAGTTGCGAACGCCGTAAAACACTTACCAAAAAAAAAGAAGAAGCAGATACAGTAGTTATTAGTAAGGAAAAAATATGTATTCGTCTCATCACAAATTAGAAAACATTTTTCACATGCTAAGAGGGTTTCTTTTTCATTCGCCATTGGGGAAAAACAGGAATTTTTTCTCATAGAATTGAGAAAAAAACCGGAAAAATTTTTATAAAGAAACCTAAAGACAATAATTATAATAACAAAGACAGATTAAAGTAAGAAGAACAACAGAAAATATAAATGAAAAAGAATATGGATAGAAACAAAAGACAGAAAGAAAAAGCAAATTTTCATTTGCTTGAACAAACTTCATTTCAAACGATCATCTCAACTCTTAACAGCCTTCAGCTTTTCCACTGCTCCAAGATAAATTCTTTTGAGGCGTTTGTCTGTGAAGATCTCTTCCTCCTCCTCTGCGGACAGTCCTCCCAGCCACAACTTGTTGGCAGAAAGTAAGCAGTATGCTTGAATTTGTACAACTGTTCAAAGTACTAGTAACTTACAAAAGAATCAGGATACCCAGACTGATCAAAAGCTCTTCTAGCGCTCTTTGAAAAGTGCAAGGCGTTCACAAAAGAGCATAATATTAATTTTGGGTACGGATATTTAAGCACACTCTTTTAATGGCATTATAGCGGAGTATTTCACTTTGCAGTCAAGATGTTCTTGTGCGTCATTCTATAATTAGTGGAGTTGCATTCGCGTTCATTCCGTTGGCAGATTTAAAAGAAAGAAAGAAAGAAAAGAAAGAAAGAATGAAAGAAAACCCCCCAAAAAAAAAACCCAAAGTGTAACAAGTTAAATGAGGAGGTGGGTAAGGGAAACAAACGACAAACCAGAAAGTATCTCATAGTCAAAAGAAACTGTTAACTAATGACTTGGTCACCTTGAGGGAAAAGGGGGGGGGTGGGGCATGTTCATTGTAGAAGATGGAAAGAGAGATAGGAGACTGGAACAGAATGAGAAAGGGGGGGGGGGGGA